ATCCCTGAAAGTGGTGAACTGCCGAATTTGGTTTTCTCCAATGCGAAAACATTCGTTGTCCATTTTGTTTGTAAACAAACAAAATGATCGTTTTTACTTGCCAAAGAGGTCAGCTGAAAATGTGCACCTTCGCTTGGCCACCAGAACTCAAGCGCCGGTCAAGGTGATGGTGTGGGCCGTTATAACAGCCGATGGTCGCTCTCCGTTCGTATTAATCGACCGTGTCATCAGAATAAATGCCCAATATTATTGCGAAAATATTCTGGAGGGTGTATTAAAACCTTGGGCCCGCAAACATCTTGGCCGCAGACCTTGGACATTCCAACAGGACACAACACCATCGCACTTTGCACGCGCCACCCAAGAATGGTAACAAAATTAAGTTTCTCGCTTCATTTCCAGCGCACAATGGTCACCAAAAGCTCCGGATACCAATCCGTTGGACTATTGTATCTGGAGTATTTTGGAAAGCAAGGTTGGCACTAAGAAATACCAAAGTATTGATCACCTCAAGCAAGTGCTTCGCCGAGAATGTGCCAAAATACCGCAGAGCAACATTCAGGCAGCGATTGACGGTTTCATTGGCCGTTTGAAGGCCATAATTCGTGCCAAATGTGACCAATTCGAAAAAAAAAAAAATTTATTCCAAAATTTGATGCTATTTCCGACATCTTTTGCTTTCATTTAATAAAATTTAAAAAAAAATATAAAAATATTGGCGTTTGCATTTTTTTTCATCTCACCCTGTTCATTTCAGTGAAATATTTTCCACCTACATCATTCAGTTCGGAAACTAGATTGACATACATTGCTATATCGACATATAATCTTATTCTGATCGAGGAGTTATTCAGTTTGTAACTCCTCGACCAGAATAAGATTATATGTCGATATAGCAATGAATGTAACTCTAGTTTCCGAACTGAATGAAGTAGGTGGAAAAAATTTCACTAAAACTAAAAATAACTTCCAAAGCTGATGGTAAATGGTATAAAGAATCTCCCAATACTAATACTCTCTATTTTATGGCGGAGGTTTTCAAAAATATTGACTCTCCATCAGAAAAGACTGATTATTTTTTGAAAAAGTAAATCGCCCCAGTTTATAAGCTAACATAACATAGGCTAAAACAAGGATTTTGAAATGAAATTTGAAATTTGCCTAGAAATTTCCTTAAATTTCCCGATCCAAGTTTTTCGACTATTTCGTGTCTTAACCATTTTTAAGGGAAACAAGTAAAAAAACATTAAGTTCGGCCAGGCCGAACTTTGAATGCCCTCTACCATTTGGAACAATTTTTTTCAATTCTCAAAAACAATAAAATCCGTTAAAAATTCTCTTAAAATCTTAAATATACCAAATGTAGCTTTTATGTTAGGGTCTATACGACGACTTGGGCCTACATAGGTAACTTTTGTCTCAAGCCATTACAATATTCAAATGCGAAACTTAAAAAAAAATCGCTTAACAATGTAGCTAAAATCATCAAAATACCGAATATCTGAAGGTAGTGTTATATGGGCCTATACAAATACGTGGACCTGCACAGACAATTTTCTGGCATAGGCTGTAGTATCCATTACGAAATTCGAATACCAAATTTGAAACAATTCCGGTAAATAATGTCGCTAAAATCATCAAAATACCGAATATCGGGTTGTACCGTTATATGGGGGCTATACGAAGACGTGGACCTACATGGTCCATTTTCTGTTTTATGCTGTAGTATCTATTACGAACTTCAAATACCAAATTTGAAAGAATTTCGGTAAATAATGTCGCTAAAATCATCAAAATACCGAATATGGGGAGGTACCGTTATGTGGGAGCTATACCAAAACGTGGACCTACATGGCCCTTTTTTAATACCAAAAGTCCTGCAGACATAATATACATTTAAGTAAAATTTTATCAATCTGCTTCATTTCGTTCGAAAGCTAGAGTGATTTCCACAGACGGTCTGTCCGTCTATGGGATAGACGGGCAGACGGTCAGACATTGCTAAATCGACATAGAATTTTATGCTGATCAAGAATATATATACTTTGTGGGTTGTCTAAAATGTATGTTTCGAGGTGTTACAGACGGAATGACAAACTTAATATACCCTCAATACTATGGTGGAGGGTATGAAAAATGGAGCAGAAAATATTGAGTTACATCGGCTCACGTTGAGTTATTATTTGTAAATTAAATTTTCTAACACACCGTAGCACGAATTTCTGGTTTATAGGTCCATAATATAGAATTGAAACGACGACTAAGTCCATATATTCTCAGTTCCGTACGAAAGGGTACAAATGAAACAGTTTTTTAAATAATAAATAGGATTTAGTTTCTGGAGTTGAGTAGGAGTTGGTTCAAACATGGCTCGACTCAACAGTTCTGGTTAAAACTAAGGCTGGATTGGCTTATAACAACCAAATTTTAGATCAAATTTCTTTCAACTATGGTTTATTGTCATCAATTATATTAAATAGTTTCTTCGTTTGCTACGAATATTTGACCTCTGCCAAAATGTATCGTCCAAGTACAAAGTCGTGAAATTCATGCATTCCATTATAGAATATTCTCAACATCTACAAAGAACTATATTCGTTGAGGACTATAAGTATAACCTCCTTTCTTTTTTTCCTACCTTCTTCCAGGACTAATTATCTCAACTAATAATAGCTTTCTCCTACCGAAAAAATTCTAGTCCCAACAAACAAAAACATCTACACCGAACTACTCTAAATTTTCCCAAAAAGAGTTTCCCACTGGCTTCAAAACTGTTTGATTAAAAGCCGAGTTTAGTACCGGGCTCCTGGGAGCTAATTTTTCTAACATTTCATTGTTTCGAAAAAGAAAATCAAAACGTTTTGAAATTGAAAATGCGTGTAATATCTTTTGAAAATAACATTTTTGTCATCGTTTACTGAAGTCAGCAAGCCAGCCAGCCAGCAAGTCAGCAAGCGATGGCAGCAGTTGAAAAATGATGAAAAATTGTATAGCTCCTTTAGAGAAGATACCTGTGGCTCTAACTTCAAATGCTCGTCTGTTTCTTCATAGATCCTGCCTGCTGTGGTGCTGTGGCGGCGGCATGCAACACAAATGAGAAATGAAAACAAATTCGTTTGTCTGAAGACAGGCTCACAATACAGAAAGAGAGAAAGAGAGAGAGGGAGAGAACACAACTAGATATCTCAATTTGGAAATGTTGGGCTCCAACTGAGCCGGACAATAACTACTGCTGTGCAAGGGACCGTTTTATGATGGTGTTTAGAATGTTTGATTTTGAAAATTGTAGATTGTTCGTTTGGTTCGACTAGAGCAACCAGTCAGCCAGCCAGCCTAGTTCCATTGTTGAAATACACATTTGTCACAACACATGTTTTTTTGTTTTTTCCTTTCTTTTCTTGACTGACTTGAATTGAGTGTTGATCCCAAAAAGAAAGAACGAACAAAAAAAGGTTCAAAGAAGTTGCCGCCAAACGTGTGGACCATAATTAAGACATTTTCCAGTGTTATTAGTGTTGTACAATCTAAATGGGATTTGGGAAAAAATCAAACAACAACAAATAAATGCTTGAAAATTGTGATTGTTGTTGCTGCAATTGACAAATCGTTTTTTTTCTAAATTTTGAGAAGAATTAATTTTTTTAATTTAGAGTTTTTATTTAAGAATTTAGAGAGCATTTTTTAAAATTACCAAGAAAGTTAAATTATAAAATTAAATTAAATATTTCAAAATTAATTTTTATTAAAAAAAATTGATTCCTTAAAAAATAAATTAATTTTTATTGCACCTAAAAAATTAACAATATGTAATTTTTATATTAAAAAACTGAGTTTTCAAAATAATTAAAAATAAAAAATTCCGTTAAATTATTATTTTTTTTTAATTTATTTTTTTTTTGTCTGAGCGTCTTTTTGTTGACATGAGAGCTGAAACATGTATTAAAAAAACTAAAATTTAGTATTTTTTATTTAATAAATAATTTTTATTATTATAATATATAATTTTAAATATTTTTTAATTTATTTTTATTTATTTATTTATTAAGTTTTAATTGAGGGGATTGTTTTATTTTTGATTTTAAGCATTTCTAATGGCTAAAATTTTTGTTTTAAAATTTAAAAGAAATATATCAATAAAATAGGAAGCTGAACCTTAAAAAATATGTATTTTTTATTTAAAAATTATTTTTTTATTTAAATTTCAATTAAACTTAAAAAAATTATTAACCTTAAAAATATATATTTTTATTTAGAAAATTATTATTATTTTCCTATTTTCCTTAAACTTAAAAATTATACAAATTAACTTTATATAATTTTTATTGTCCCAACTTATATTTTTAATTTTTTTAAACTTATTTATTTTATTTTTTTATATTATTAATCGATTTTTTATGTTTTGACATTTTTTCCAATGTTTCTGTGATTTTTAATATATTTTTTTAATTCTAATTTTTTGAATTTTTTATTTTTTTTTTTATTTTTATAAAATTTAGATCTTTTTCCCATTTTTTCTGCTTTAAAAATCGGTAGTTTTTTTTTTTTTTGATTTGACATTTAATTTTTATTTTCACTTTATATGTTTTATTGAAGTTTTGAGAGTTTTTAATTGTTTTTTTTTATTTCTTTATGATCTTATTTTTTTTTTTTTGTAAAATTTAAAAATTTTATTTTTTATTTTAGAAAATTTTTAATGCTTTAAAAATATTTTTTTTGTTGTATATTTCGAATTTTTATTTTTATTTTCACTTTATATTTTTTATTAAAGCTTTGAGAGGTTAAAAAATATTTAATGTTTTTGTTTATGCTCCCTAATTACAATTTTTTTTTTTTATTTGAGACCTGAGTTTTTTCTAATAAATAAAAATAGAAAATTTATATTTTTGAGATAGGTATTTTTTATTTGAAAATAATTGTTTTTCTTTGCTTAAAACTAATAACAAAAATTAAAAAAAATATAAAAAATTATACAAATCAAAAATAAATTGAATTAAATATTTTAAAGTTGGAATTTTTTCGTTTTTGTTTTTTTTTTTTTTTTTTTTTTTGCTTTTCAAAGAAGGCCCGCCTTTTGTCTCTGTGCTAATGCTGTCCCAGCATTCTAACTGCTATTGCCCCATAACTGGACACCAGAATATGTCGATTGAACCCGCTGTCCTCTCTCATAATAGCGGTGTGCGGCTTCAGCTCATGCCATATCCCCAAGGTCCAAAGTCGCTGTCAAGTCGTCTTCGTCCCAATTTTGCCGTGACATAAATTTCATGACCAATTTTTTTATGGAACGGTGCGCTTAGAGTAATTCAAGAACGCTTTGCGTTTTGTATTCTTTTCCACAACTATCCTGCTGCTGCTGGTGTTGATGGTGTCGAGGGCTCAGAATTTAGCTGGCTGGGAATTTTCCCAAAAGTTGCATGCGATGGAAGAGCTCAGCAGACATGGGCATGGGTCCGGATGGATACATGGCATTGGTGGGAGGCATTTGATTGTAGACTGGCATCTGGGGAGGCTGCTGGGGTACGGCGGCAGCTGGATAGCCAGCACCATAGGGATTCATGCGTTGATACAGGGCAGCGGCGGCAGCAGCATTGGCATAACCGGGAGCAAATGGCATGGCACCAGGGAAGGGTACAGCAGCGGCGGCGGCTGCGGCAGCATAACGACCCATCATGGGCGAAAAGATGGCCTGGCGATAGGCAGCCAAACGGGCACGATTGGCACCGGGATTTTTGCGGCGCAATTTTCCCGTTGTCTCACCAATGAACACCTCCTCGGCACTGGGGTCCAAGATCCAGTAGTTGCCCTTGCCGGGATCATCATAGCTGCGTGGAATCTTGGCAAAGCATTTGTTCAGGCTCAAATTGTGGCGTATGGAGTTTTGCCAGCCGCGCTTATTCATCTTGAAGTAGGGGAATCGATTGATCAGATACTGATAGATACCATTCAAAGTCAAACGTTGTTCGGGGCTATTTTGAATGGCCATCATGATCAAGGCATTGTAGCTGTAGGGGGGTTTCTTGTCATCACCCTCACCCTCCGATTTGCCGGCCTTATCCTCATCGCTGTCACAACTCTGATCATCTTCCAGCTTATCTTCGCCGGAAGAGAGAGAATCGGCAGCACTGCTCATGGGGGTACTGGTGCGGCTGGGATTGTCAAATTCCTCGGAGATTTCACCATCATCGGAAGTGTAGAGGGCAGCATCCTTGTGGCAATCGGGTTCTTGTTTGATCACAACAGTGGTTTGTTGTTGTACATTGGAGTTGCTGTTGTTGTTAGTGTTTCTAGCCAAAATGGCATCAATTGAGAAGTTGCTTTTGAATTCCATTTCGTTAACACTTTTAACCATTGTTTTTGTTATAAGAACTTGTTTGTTGTTTTTATTGTTTGGAGAATGTCTTTTGAATTTATTTTTAAAAATTGTAATTTTTTTTAAATAAAACTCAAATATTTTATTTTGTTTGTATTTCTTCTTTTTAGAACACCAAGAGATGTTTACAAGACGAGATGTAGCTGAGTACTGACTATTCCACGCTCTGAGCGGGCTATTTATACCCCGAAGGCTCTCGATCCCTCTCAGCGTGATAAGTCTACACAAGAAAGGCCTCAACTACTTATCGGATACAATCCACACACAAGCAACAACACAGCCGAGCAATAACAACAAAAACAATAAGGCACACAACACAGTACTAGGTAGCCACATTACTCTGTGTGCGAGAGTGTGTGTGTGTGTTGCTATCCCACAATGAAACAAACATATGCTGCTCTGCCACTAACTCCGCCCTTAACATTGTTTGTTTATTCAACACCCGACTAGATGTTGCTGCAGTTGTTGTTGTTGCTCTCATTGGTTGATTCCGTTTCGTTGCGTTGTTTTGTTTTTGTTTGTGTGTGTTTGGCCCCCAGAGAATCCACACAATATTTGTTTGATTAAATCACAACATGCAGAGAAATGGATGAAATGGGAGAGGGAGAGCCGTTTGGCAGAGTGAGTACTTGTAATTGTTGTTTTGCCTCAAAGTAATGCGCATGTGAGTAAATAAACGGTATTGGGGAAAACATTTGTGGAGAGTATGAGAGTCTCCCCACAATGGGTACGATGGGAAGAGACAGACATTGTTGGTTGTTTTTTTGTTGTGTTGGGGAATTCATTTTGAATTTTGTTGCTCTCGCATCGGTGTTTTGGGGTGTGCTTTACTTTACCACTGTTGGGCAATATTTGTATGGCTGAATGAGGGGAAAGAGAGAGAGGTTGTTTATAATGTTGGGATATTGGTTTAATGTTTATTTTGTACACATTTCGTTGATTCGGCGTCAAAATATCTATTAGCATTAATCTAAACAGGGTTGAAAATTGTTCTACGTGGTGTGGCGGTTCCTTTGTTGAAAAAACAAGAGAAAAAAGTAGTATTTTTTGTAGACAAAAATAATTTTTAATGAAATCACCAACAATTTGATTATTATTTTCTACAAAGAAAAAAAATAGGTAAAACAAAATCAAAGTATTTACAAACTAACTTTGTTTTCAATAATGAACCTCCTAATTAATTTTACTTTACCTTCAAAAAAACTTTAAATTTTAAAACGACATGAAATCACCAAAAAATTGATTATTATTTTTGTAAAAGAAAAAAAAAAAAACTAAAACTAAATGAAAGTAAAAGATAACTTTGTTTTCAGTAATAAACTTTACCCTTCCCATTAAAATAACTTTTTTGAAATGAGTTATCTATTGATGTTTTCTTGAATTCTTGAAAAAAATTGATTATTATTTTTGTAAAAGAAAAAAAGCTAAAACTAATTGAAAGTAAAAGTTAACTTAGTTTTCAGTAATAACCCTTATCCTTCCCATAAAAAATAACTTTTTCTTTGACATGAATTATCTATTGCTATTTTCTCCCTTCAATTTTTTCTTTCCCAAAATTTCAATTCTATTTCGAGACCATAGAAATTCTTTATTTTTGGGAATTTCGAAACGTGCAAATAATTGTCGGCTGCCTTCTTCCCTGCCTTCCTTCCATCCATCCATCCATAGCATCGACGAACTTTAATTATTTGTTACGCTTGTTTCGAATTGTTCTAATTAGTCACAGAGAGCATTCTCATTCCTAAGCATGTTGTCTTGTTATTGACGTCTTGTCATAAATATTTAACTTAAATAAGAGAAGACAATGGAAAATTGCTTTTAATTAGGGGTTAATAAGTTTAAGTTAAGTTTTAGTTAAGTTTTAGAATTCTGTAGACCTTAGAAAGGCAAAAGTTATTTATGAACTGGAAAATTTTATTTTAGATGAAATTAGTTTTGGGATTTCGTTATTGGAGGAATATTTGATTACTAGTGCAAAGGGAATTGAAGGGAGAATTAATAAGTGAGCTTTAAAGTAAAATTAATTTACACATAAATATTTATGTTAATTATATATTTTGAGAATTTGGTAGGTATGTTAGCAAAAATCAATAAAACTACATCATGCAAAAATGTTTAAATATATAAAGAGAAAACTCACTTAAGGTCGCCATGTCCCAGTTATTTACGATGTTCACATTTAAACTTAATTAAATAAGAATTTTTTTAACTAAATAAGAAAATAAACAAAGGTATTTGGATTGAAATTGTTATATCCATTACTTATACTTCAAATAAATCCTCTTAAAATGGTTTAACCCTACAAAAGAACTCTTATAATATAAACATGACATTATATTAGCTTCGAAAATGTATTCAGATATTTTGATGAAAATTTAATTTGAAAAAGGACACTTTGTTATATTGAAATTTACCTTTTGTCCATGGAACCTGTAACTATTTTTAAATTAACAAATTTTAAAAGAACTCTTTAGAGAAGAATACTTCCTCTTTTGGTATTCCTAAAGAATTTAAGGGCCAAGTTCAAAATGTATATATATTTTTAATACAGAGTATAGAGCCAGAATAGAAGCTAATTGTTTTTGGAGATGATCGCGAAATATTTAGAGGTTAAAATTGACCAAAATAGACAAATTTCGTTATTTTGCTGTAGGTCTATAGGTCATTATACATTATTAACCGACATTATCGACTAGGAATTTTACATGGAGTTAGAGTTTAGGACTGGGCAAAAGTCAAACAATTTTGAGGTCATCACAGAATATTTAGCGGGTAAAATATAATATAGCTTTTATGTCAAATAATACGAAAATTTACACTAAACCGCGAATTCACATAAAAATTAAAGGTCACTTCTGACCACTACAGCCAAATAGGTACAATATATTTGTAAAAGAAATATATCTTAGTTATTCTGCTTATAAGTCAAGAACTGCTGGACTGATTTTCACAATTCTCATCAATTTGGAATGGTATCTTGCCAGAAAAGGATAAAATCGTACAAAACCGCGTAATAAATGACAATTAAAAAGAGATAATGTTTTTTTTTTTTGCATTTTTTTTTAATTTTGGTCATTTTTCATCGCATGCGATTTTTATACCCTCCATAGAATTGCCATTCCGTTTGTAACTCCTCGAAATATTCGTAATAGACCCTAAAAAGTTTATATATTCTGGATCAGCGTAAGATTCTAAGACGACCTAGCGATGTCAGTCTGTCTGTCTGTATGTCTGCCTGTCCGTCTGTTTGTTGTAATTACATACATTCATAGTTTACCAGTAGGCAGGTTCGTAAATAGGCCATGTCGGTACCTACCAATATTCGGAATTTTGATCAGCAACATTATTCAACGGAATTGTAAAAAAAAATCGTATTTAAAGTTTGTAATGGGTGCTACAGCCTATGACAAAAAATTTCGTATATTTCTCATATAAAGGTTTTCATTTAAGTGGTAGTTTTCGGAATTTTTTAGCAATTTTGAAGTTCTTTTCAAGTTGTGGAGGGTATTAAAAGTTCGGTCCAGCCGAACTTGCTGCTTTTTTACATCAATTCAATTTGACTTACTATTTTGTATTGTAAATTTTCTAAAATGTTTCTACACCCCACAACGCTATGTATTGGGTTATCATATACACGGTGCAATAATCGTCCGTTCATCACGAAATTTTACATGGGGGTAGGGTTAGAATTAAAGCCTATTATTTTTGAAGATGTACATTTAAAGGTTCAAATGGACCAAATGCCCCCGGTCAAAAAGCTAACACCGGGATTTGGACATAATGGGGGACATATTGTAGTGTTGTAGGGTATTACATGGTAGGTCCCGCACGACTATGAACATATTTTTGGGTATAATAAAAGATTTCAGAGAAGCACAACCGGACACAACATATTGTTCCATATCGGGGGGGATATAGGACATACTCACCCTGTCTTTTATCTCTTACAAAAATTCAGAAAATAAGTCCATGATTTGGCGTAGCCCCCATGTAACATCGCGTAGAGCTTAAAGTACTTTATTACTTAAAAATAATGTTGACAAAAAAATGGAAGTTTTTGGTAACTAAAATCCAGTTCAACATTTTTTTATATATAAAAGAGGTACCTATGTATTTTCCGTATATGAAAGAAGGGAGTATTTTTTGAAAATAAACTAGCATGGTTAAACTTTAGTTCAATGTCCACTATATGACAATGTTTACTAAGGCCTAATGCAGTGAAGACTATAATTTCAGAAAAAGACATCAAATTGCTTTTTTGTTTGGGAGATATTCTTCCAAAGAATATTTCCAAACGATTCATTCCTAAGGAGAATATTTTTTGCCATTAAAAATATGATCTTCCTCTATGCTACCATAGCTGCTTTAATGCTTTAAAAATATTTGATAAATCAAAAATCTTCACCAAATCAGAATTTCACTCTTTGAATCTCCTAAAAAACCAGTCGATGTTTCTAAATCTAAATCTATCCACCCTGACCTAAACCACTATTTGTTGTTTGACGATCTGCTCTGATCTGATCTCTGTAATACCTTTTTCATCACTCCCCCACATGTATCTTCTCGTCCTGTCCAAACATGCCTTTGACTTTGATCAGCTGCCAAGGACTTGACTTGGATTTCGTTTAACGGTCCATGGTTTACTGTGATCCAAATCGCCCAGTGTTTGGTTAGAAACAAATCCAAAATTATATCTCTCTTGACGTATCTTCACGGTTTTAGTGACTAAGCTATTTGAGAGCAGGTTTAAGCGAAAGAATTCAATGTCGCCAACTTTGTTTGTCATGGATTATTGGCGAATTCCAAGTTAGAGGTTTTGCGTGGGTTTGAGACAAGCAGATTGACAAATGTCGTCTGCCTGTCCCAGGTAAAGCAGGTAGCTAACTTAGCACTTGTATCGGCTGGGTTTTGCTTGAAAGAGAGAGAGGGGGGAGCTTAATGAGATCCGGTTGGGATTTAAAAAGCAGTGCTTGGTGCTGGATGGTTGGTTGATTCGTTATGATTTAAGCGGTATGCAATAGATCTGACGAGAACGAACGAAAAACGATTAAAATAGAAAGGTGAATTTGGATATTGTGAAATATTATGGGTATTATGAGATTTCGTCAAGGATCATTAATGGGAAATCATTTAAATGCTTTGATCGGATTATGTATTGGA